GGGCTACGCAGACCAGTCGGCAGATATTCTCAATCAGCATAACGACAGTTGTAAGTAATAATAGGTCCCTGTCTATTGGGGTACCACGGGAAAAAGAATGGGATATCAGTCCGCGCATCCGTTCTAAACAAGCTCCTCGAGAAACACTCATTTTGATTGCCTCACAGAGCTAGCTTTAGAAAATGGTTATCTCGTTGCTTTTAAAGACAAATGAAATGGTTTGAACAATTGAGAAGGAGAAGATAGAAGCTTCGCGGCGGTATCACAATAAGCCAATAGATGAACATGAGTGCGAGTGTGGGTCCCAAATCCAGCGCAATGTCTCGTTGCCAGAATCATATGTATATGGCAAGCCGTTTGTTTCTAGACCGACGCCTGCTCTCTGCTGCACTTCTAGTACATCGATGCAGATGTCAGACTTCAGTGAACCTTTGGAGTGGCTACACACAATCTTCATATCTTTTAACTATGAATCAAGGTTTCACACGGGCTGGTAACCGCATGTCGTGCTAAGGATATGGGACACGGTAGACGAACGGATAAAGGAGTTGGGCAAAGTTTTGCAAATGATGACCGTAAACGATGGATAGATGAGCGACAGAGATCCATCGCTTCCGTTGCCTAGGTTATGACAACCGGATGGATGAAAGTATTTGTTGCAGTAGCTGCTATTGAAAGCAGGGATGAAGTTAATCTCCACTCCGCCGAAAGTATCTGGTTTATTTGGTGTTTCCAATTGGCACCGGCTCAAACGCGAATTAAGAAACTCTTAACGCGATATTTCGAAGAGTTTTCACTAAAGCTCTCACTCTTTTAACTAAGATAGCAAGATAGCTAAAATATCTATATCTGCTCCTACAGATGACTGTCTTTTGAACATACCTACTACACCCAAAGTACGATTACAGTGCAGCTAATCGAAAAAAGAGTCAGAAAAAAACTAAAAGAAATGAAAAATGCTCTGCGGCATTAACTCCTTTGAGGAAATTAACGAGAGAAGTCAATATTAAAGGAAAACCAACTCGACCAAGTTGAAGGGATGGCTTGTGGTTAGGGTTAAGTATGCTCGTTTGTATACTACATCTGTATCATACATACATAAAAATATAGATGACCACCTTTATATATGTACATATATATATATGTATGTATAAGTGTTAACGTGGCAAGAGAAAACTGTCAGTCTATCATTTAGGCGGTCGTATATCAACACCATCTCTCGGTCTGTCAATGATATGTAGTGCTAAATGATTTTCGCACGCATCTATTTATGTACATACATACATATAAATGCTTACGTGTGCGCATATTTTAATAGTAAGTAGCCATTCTTTTTTTTCATTTAAAATGAAATGCATATGTATGTGAGTCTGTCGGTATTGCCAAACACTTTTACACAATTGATTTCCCACCTACATTTCTACTACTTTCTATGCGCGCACTGCAAGGAAGTCCACGTTGTCGTCGCCTGCTGAAAGACGCTATGCACACAATCGCTTTCACTTTACTTTTCATTGATTGTGAACTTGAAAGAAGCAGAAGGACATTTGACGGTAACGACGGAGGGAAAAGTAAACATCTTGAATCGTTTAACAAATAAAAGCACTTTGACTATTATCAACGATTTATTGCGGTTTATTTAGTAGTGCAAAAGGAGCTGGACAAGCTGCGGACATAAAGAGTAGGCTGACTACAACACTTCCTAAATAGCTCTACGAGCGGATGTACAATAGTTGAAGGCTTGTTAAAATGATATGCTGAGCTACTGAGAGGCAGAGAGAGAAAAAGATAGGGAGGGGGAAAGAGAGATAAAAATAGAAAAAGGGAGTGATATTTTCATTCTGAAAATAGTTGAATATATCACTCTCCTGTGTGGCCAGAAAGGCTCTTTCGAGATTTTTAAATTTTAGCGAATTTAACGTTTGGATGGATTTGAAATATTAGATGGAGTGAAAAGTATTCCAGTATTTTTGCATTAAAATTGCCGATTTGTATGCGATTTTCGGCAGAGCTTCTTTTTATGTCTTTATTTCATGACAGAAATACATTCGGAGGCGTCGATTGTCTGTCTAAGGGCGACTTTTTATAATTTTTGATGTTGACCGTACCAGGACTCGAACCCTGGTCTTACGAATGTTCGCGAAATTTATTGCATTTCGTTAAAAAAAGTTTTTAATTTATTTATTTATTAATTTTTACCAATTTTTATAGATAATATTAGTGTTTTTATATATTGCAAACTGAATTTAATAGTCATATCACGTGAATAAAAAATACTTTTTTCCATTCAGACATTTAGTTAATGTTTTGTTTTCGACTAAAAATAGTACGAACAGCTGAGGTCTGAAAGATTAAATTTGTTACTGATAATGTATGAAATAAAATTTGATTAGTAGCAACAATAATATGCAAATTTATGACTTCATAAGTGCAGATTTACGAGTATAAATATAAAACGATCATCAGTTTTCGACTTTCGATGCAATGAAAATTTTGATTTATTTTGGCAAAATTCATCTTGAACAAAATTTCTTAAACATTTTTTCCTTATCCCTACTTTTGATCCTTTGCCATCCTGACTAAATCTTGTAAAATTGTCAATAAGTTCAAAACGCGATGAAGCTTTGACAGATTTTTCTTAAGCTTGCACACATTAGGGAGCTTCGGGTCTGGTAAAACAACTGTGGACCAGATATTTACCGGGCCCTAAATTATAAAAAAACCTATGAGAAAGTTAGCGACACCCACTACCATTTCATCGATTTTTTTATACTGTTTCCTTAATGAAATACTGAAGAAATTAATATGAGTTGCAGAGCTTATCAGGGAATGTATACTTTTCTTAGTTAATTTCGTTTATCTTGAAATCAGCGTCAGAGCAAAATCATTCCCGTCGGCATTAAGAGTTTTCGGTAGAAAAGTTTCGTGAACGATTTCTGAACCTCTTGAAACTTGGGATGAAGAATACCGCAGATAATGGAAAGATGAGCTGTATCAGTTAACATAGCTCAGCGTATTGAGCTATACTTAACTCCACAAAAAGAATCTAAAAAAAATCGTTATATAAAAATCGTTCGGGAGGTACCCGAAGGAATAATAGCAACAAAATGAAAAGTTTTCAAATTTATATTCTGCTGGCTAGTTTCCATGATCCTAAAAAACATGCTTCCAGACAAAGATTTTCTTTACATATACATTACAATAGATAGATTTTTCTTTTTACGGGAGAGTTTTATGTTCGTGAAATGGGAGTTAAAGGGTGTAAAAAAAGATTTACTTTATGGATATATTAGACATATTTGTATTGTCATAAAAATATGTTTTCTATTTATCTCCAAGATGTACCGAAACTACTTACTTCACCGATAATATACATTTTTTACCACTCAGCTTTTATTCATTTTCGGAAACAGGTATTGATCACCCGCGGTAGGCTGTACAGTGGGTATTCAAAGATCGAAGCCCATTTTATAGGAGTTTGGATAAGTTTTTGTATGGCCACCGCGATGCTTCTGACCGACCTCTGATCGCCTTCAAAGGAATTCCCTGCCTTATCTAAATAAACTATTTTACTTGTGCATTATGGGACAAGAGTTGCTGTTAACAAATAATTTCCCATTCATTATATTTCACTATTCACTTTGCTTTGATTATGTTGCTTGGTTGACGATAGCTCAAAGACTACTTGTCTAATATCAATGAAAGCTTGCCACTTTGAGGCACCGAGCACGCTACAATGCTAATGAGCCTAATGACCCCTTTCTAACCCTCTCACAAATACGCTTCATCGTACTTTGGTTTCAAAACTAATTATTTGTTGAGTTGTTCTAGACGCAATTTAACCTAAAAATGGAAAACAGATCCGTAATCTACGATTTTAATTATTCTTCAAAACTACGATTTGGCGATATACAATTATAATTGTTCTAGTTTAAACCAGCATAACTGTTAAATTCAACACAAATCTACGCTAAATTTAATCCTTTCGGTTTTTTCGCTGTATTACAATATATGTACATATGTCCTTATGTATGCATGGCTGCAAAGGGGCCGCAATACTTGACTCATTTTACAACGAAGAAAAATCAAATATTAAAGTTCATCAGAAAAAAGGAATAAAAAAATAATTAAAATCAAAAGCAACAAAACAATATCGAAAAGACAAAGTTTCCTTTTCATTGAAATGAAATGAGTCGAGACTGAGACCGTTTTTTGTGCCAACTCATGCTAAAGACTAACAATTTTACGGCATTCACCAATTGATAGTGTCACACTTGAAGAGCCAGCTTCTGGCTTCACTCTTAGACACTGTTGCTTGTGGCAAATCGACTTTGCCCTCCTGACTGTTTCATGATTTGGCCAATCAAATTCAGCTAACGGCAAGCATATGCACACGTCATATAGATATGTGCGTATGTGGGTGGAGTTGGTCGGGGTTGAGCAATACACGCAGGATAAAAACTTAAGCACGCCAACTTGCCACTTGCCATTTGCCACTTGTGGAACAGTTGCCACTGTGTAGATACAATCACAATCACTTGTTGCTACTGCCGCTGTTGGTGAGGAGGTGGTACGGGAAGTGCGGATAGAGCAATGTGCAAATATCAGTTGCAGCTTTTATATCATAGAAAATTTATCTTTGCACAAATACAGACACATATACACTTACGAATGAATATTTGTGTGCGTACGTGTAAGTGTGTTGGTGGCGAAGTGACTATTTAGATGATACCACTATGGGTTGGAAAGGAGCAGGAGAAAATGCTAATACAAGATTCTGCCATGAAGGATATAATAATGGTAGAAGGAGAAGAAGGCAGTCAAACATTATCTGCCGCTGCCTAGAAGTAGGCTATAAAAGTGTGTTACGCAGCATTGGGATCTTGCAGTATCCTTTCGGAAATCGACTCGACAAGTTGCCCGGTAAGCGTGCGTACGCCTTAAACAACTGGCGGATAGTTAAATATTTGAAACAAAAAAGAAAAAAATCAAAATTCTAGTGAAAAGAAAAAGTTTTGTGCATTTTTAAAAAGTTGAAAATATTGATATTTCTTCCAAAATATGAGCGCTTCCGGCAAAAGTCTATTGGGTCTATGGCTCTATCGTAGTGGCGAGCAGGAATGGGCTGTCAAACAAGGCAGTCCCTTACATACGCTACGAAAAGAGCATCGCAGTCTCGTAAGCGATTTTTTTTTTGCTCTGAAGTTTTGCGTTTCTATATATTTTTGTTTCGTATAATTCAGGACACGTCGATTTCCGATAGTGGCAGTGAGAAGGGCAGTGTAGATGCGGGCGATTCTAATCGCCAAAGTTCGCCCGGAGATCGTGTCTCTATAATTTTTACATTAAAAAATCAGGTTGGAAATTTAGCGCGAGCTCTACAAGTCTTTCAGGAATTGGGTATTAATGTGCTGCATTTGGAATTATCTCCTTTGGAGAAAACCACCAATCAGGTAAGTTCTGCAAGAGTAGGAATAGATTAAAGATAATATGTAGATCTTCCAAAAATTTATATTTTTATTGCTTTCAAACAATGACCCTAACTCACACATCAATAAATTATTTTAGATTTTTTACAAGTTAAAAATATAATTTTTCACTAATAGACAATTTTATCACAAATACTATCGAAGAACAGTCAAGTCCATAAAGCTCTTATAGAGTAGTGATATTCTCTTTCTCAGAATGTAGAAATTCATTGAAAAATTACACATTCTAAAAAAATTTAGAACAAAGCGGAACTGTTGTATAGTGACGTCAAAAAAAAAAAAAAATAAAAAGAATAAGAATAAAATCTAGACAAAAAATATTTTAGATAAGGTCGTGCTCAGACAAGCTTTGTATTTTGTCTTTATATCAAATTATATTTCTAATTGGTTCATTATCTGTATTTGACATCTCAGTCTTGGGCGATATTGTAGACAAATTAATTTAAAATTATGCTGAAATGCGATAAAGAGCAGAACATCAATCTGATCCAACCTTAACCTTGAAAAATTCTTCAAAAAATTCTTACTTATCTGATGAAAATAATAGCTAATTTTGATATTTCAATTCAAAAAGTGCATTTTTCGCAAAAGTTCAATCAAAAAACAATTATAAGTTTTTTATGCACAGTGTTCTTAAATGCTTGCAATAATCTCAATGAAATTTAAGGTATTCTAAGGTAGATTCAGAGTGGAGTTTAGTCAACAGATCTTGATGCTTCCAAATCCTTCCTAGTCTTTTTCAAAGGCTGTAAATTGTTTAACCTCAATGCTGCAATGGTCAAAAAATCGTATTCTATATATCTCTTTGGTTAGCCAGTCCAAATTAAGACCCCTGAACTCTGTAAAAGTAAAAGTTATGGGTGCCTAACATACAATATAAGGTAACGAGATGGCGGACGAACTTGCAGTGAAACATTTCCTTTCCTCTCCACTTTCGTGTTCTAGAAAAGTTTGCATTGGCGCCTCTCCGCTTGTAACGTCACTATATGAGAGTTGCAAACTTAAGATGAAAAATTTTCAATGCGCGTGCAAAAAAATATTTTAAGGCACTTTTTCTGCGAATGCCCTACACTTTGGAGGACTAGGTCTGGTACTTCGGTCCCTGTAGATGTGCACAATGTTCTCTTGAGATTAATTCTTTTCGTCTGTCCTGAAACCATTTGTTTGAGAGAGATAATTCCTCATCAATTTTACTATTTTTATGAATAATCCTAGACGACAAGTTTCACCCTCGACTTCACAGTCGTCGTTTTATACAATGTCCAGCTGAAATGTAATCGACAAAGCGAGGTTTTAGACAAATCTAACAAACCCAATACACATTTTACTTGATTCCTGTTGAACATATTAATTTAATGTACATCACAACCCCCAAACATATATAAAGTGAAGCAAAGTTGTGTCCATCGTTCTTCACTGGAGTTCTGTTTTTCTGAATTGGTCCACCGGCTCCGAGTACACAGAACTACACATTTTGTTTTCCTCTGAAAATAATAGTTTTTCGCAATATTGTCTTGTTTCTCCAGATCAGCGTTTTTTTGTTCTGAGGACGTACAAAGTCCTTCTCCCCCTTGTTTGGAGTATTCCTACTTATCTATGCCATATGGTCTAGCCAGCGTAGCCGAAGTCTCTTCATTCGCTGAACTATACAAATGACCACTTATACCTTGTAAAACCTTCTTCTTAAATACCCAACACGGGCTCATCACATGTTGTCACCGCACCAATTTTCAATTGCCTACTCAGAGTAAAGTTGAACATGTTGACAAGAGTGATTTTGCGTTTTATTTCGGACTGATAATGTAGTTCGTGCCAAAGCTGGTTCCATAGACGAAGTTATCCACGACTTCGATGTTATGACTTAGAACAGTGACGTGACAGCCGAGTAACGAATGCGATAACTGCTTGATTGATGACAGGAGATATTCTTACTGGTCCACTGCCAAATCCATACCTCCCAATTCCTCACCCAGTCTGGAAAAAGAACAACTCACGGCATGATTTGTTGAGACCGATTCATCTCAAATACAATATATTTTATGGTACGTAAGGAATTTAGAGACCGAGGCGGTAAAAAAACGCTTAATTTGAAGAAAAGATTCATTCGCTTTGTAACCGCTAAAACGATTTTTGGCCGAACACTTTCTTCAATTTGGTGTGTCGTGAAGAGACTTTATTTCACGTCAGAAATACATAAGGAGAGCTTGGCTTTTTCTGTCAAGAGCGACCGCAATTTGAAAAATTAATTATTATTTTTATTCTAATTAATATTCTATATGTTTTGGACTTCGATCGTAATAGGACTCGACCTCTGGTCTTCCGAATAGAACTTCGCCGAGAAGTTAAGGAAATTCCTGTAAATTGTCTTGTTTATGCAATTCTAACCCATATGTATTTGAGAAACGTTTTTCCTGTAAAAAAATACTTTCTTCGGCATTGTTTAAAATTTTATTCGAAGACTAAAAGTACAAGAACTTACTTAACTGAGGAGGTCTCAAGAAGACTGCAAAAAAGTCTGCATACGTTGCATTATAATCGCTGATGCAATTTTTGGCTGAGCTCCGCTTCCATTTTGTGGTTTTGCGTTTTGATATCTTACAATAAATTGAGAGAACTACAGCTCATTATAAGCCTCCTCCGAAAGGGTCCTTTATTTTTATACGGAGTTTTTATTTTTATAAAGTTATATATAGGTATAGCCAGGTTCCGACCTTTATAGCACACGCTGTTCGTCATTCTTCTTTTCAAAATATTACAAGGCGTTAAAAATGTTATTTATTTGGTCAAGTTCAATTCAAAAGTCATTTCAAAGATTTACGTATTTATTTGAACTGCTTTCAGGCTGACGTCCTCGTCGATGTCGAATGTGATGCCCGACGTTTGGATAAAGTACTGCAAATGTTAAATCGTGAGGTGCAGTCTGTAAATTACACAACTGTACATCCAATGTCACGCGCGCCATCTCTATCGGCGTGTTCCAGTTTTGGTAGGTCAATATGAATTTACTCACTTGCCCAAAAAAAGGAAAAAAATCTTCTGAGCTAATCCAAACAAAAAATTTGCTACTAGACTTTGGTGAAATGGTCTGGTTTCCACGTAAGATTTCCGATTTGGATAAGGCACAAAACGTGCTGATGTATGGCTCTGAGCTCGATGCTGATCATCCTGGCTTCAAAGATCCAGTCTATCGTAAGCGACGTGAGACGTTTACAGCGATTGCTAATAATTATAAGCAGTGAGTTTTTTTATTTGACTTTCTATCTTTATTTAACCAATGGATTTCTTAAAATCTACAATCAATAGTGGCCATCCGATACCACGTGTGACCTACACACCGGAAGAGATAAAAACTTGGTAAGTTTTGCAAGCTTCAATAGTGCGTGTGCGAAAACCGCAGGATATACAAGTTAAGCCCATAAATGGTTCTTATACTCGACATACATACATATGTATGTTTGTACGTATATTTGAAAACATAAAAACTACTCGTAGGCACTGCCAATGTCAAAGAAATATCTTTAATTTAATTGGCACTAAATTTGTAACTTTACAGGGGCACTGTCTTCCGTGAACTGCATCGCTTGTATGTCAAGCATGCCGTGAAGGAGTATATGGAAAATTGGCCGGAATTGGTTAAGTATTGTGGTTATCGTGAGGACAATGTGCCGCAGTTGGAGGATGTGAGTAATTATTTGAAACGTAAGACAGGTTTTCAGTTGCGTCCCGTTGCTGGCTATTTATCGCCACGTGATTTTTTGTCGGGCTTGGCTTTTCGCGTATTCCATTGTACACAGTACATACGACACTCGTCCGATCCGTTCTACACGCCAGAGCCGTAAGCGAAGTTAATGTGAAATAAACATAACGTCTATTTATTGATTTTTCCCTTTCACGCATAGTGACTGCTGTCATGAGCTTTTGGGTCACATGCCGCTATTAGCTAATTCCAGTTTTGCTCAATTCTCCCAGGAAATCGGATTGGCTTCATTGGGCGCTGCGGATGCAGACATTGAAAAGTTGGCAACGGTTAGTTAATGCATGCAATACATATATATAAAATGGATACAATTATGTTTTTATTTCAGTTATAGATTATGGTTCAAACCTTTCAGAATAATCTGGCAGAATTGGTCCCCCCTTATTCCTGGAAGTTACGGTTATTCGACTATCGTAGTTTTCTCTTTCTATTTATCAAGGCATTTTACGGTGCACTTTTAAATGATTATATTACAATTATTGGGATGCGATACCAGCCCGCTACCGATCATCATTTCGTCCACAATTCCAGTGTCTTTTTTTGATCTTTGATTAGCTAGAAAGCTAGCCGCTGTTAACTCAAGTTAGGAAACAGGCAATCTAGTTTTGTTTCATTATATTGCTCGAGCGTCTGAAAGTACCCCTAGGCGTGACACATCGGAAGTCTTAGCTACATTCCAGCAAAGTCAGAGTGTATCCTAAGAAATTTTTATGAAAACAGCCTTTACTGGCCTTGAAAATATCTAAAATCATGTAGAATGGCAGGAAAGGGAGACACACACACTTTTCGCTCCACGCATTGTCAAAAGAAGTAGGTACTGGTATCATATGTGATCAGGAAATAAAGGGAAGGAGATTGATTCTCTGTCTATGACCAGAAAGTGTAGAGTAGAAGCTTGAGAGAGACGTCGGAAAATTTTCTCTGTTTATGGCTTCTAGGAACTTACGTGTGCAGGACGATAAGGGAAATTTCAATACTATGTATTAAGACCTTTGTAAACTTCTCAGAAAGGTGTTCTAAGCGGGACTACTTAGGTATATAATAGACGTTTTGTAACCGTTGAATTAAGTTTTCGCACCAGCATTCTAACCAATGGTCCTTTGCATGGTAGTATGCGCAGGTAAAAATCCAGCTGTTGCGGCTGTCAACGAATTCTACCTCTTGAGATAAATTGAACCTCCATCTGACACTACGAAGCATCAACATGTACACGTTATGCGTTACAACTTACTCTAAAACCTTTAATGAGATTCTCATGCTGACACTGGGGTATAATTCAAAACTCCATAGAGCTCTACTCTGGATATCATTCAGCAGTTTAAAGTTCAATTAAAGACTTATTGACTAATGAGGGCCGTGAGCTTGATAAACTTGTAAAACTTCTATTTATAGACCGGCAATTATACTGGTAGATACTGAGAGTGTTTTCTGGGCTAAAATTCTGATGCCCTTAACCTCAGAACTTTAGATGGTACTAATTGAACAAGTGTTGAGTTTTCTGATTTCTCTCACTCTCCATCTTTCGCTGTTTGGCTTTAGTTGGTTAGAATTTCATTGACACTGGTTAAATGATTTCACTATAGTTTGGCCTTTTCATTGCTCGTATACTTACATTAATAACTACATTTCACATTTCGCAACTAGTTATATTTCTTTACGGTGGAATTTGGACTCTGCAAGCAACAGGATAGCACTTTCAAAGTATATGGCGCTGGTCTACTAAGCTCTGTGGCTGAACTACAGCATGCCATAACTGCAAGTGAGAAAATCAAAAAATTCGATCCCGATGTAACTTGCCAAGAGGAATGCATTATAACATCTTATCAAAATGCTTACTACTACACCGACTCATTCGAGGAGGCTAAAGAGCAAATGAGGTACTTTGAGATGAAAGATACTCGCTTCGCACTTCGATTTTATGTAATTAATTTTTTCTTTGCCAGAAATTTCGCCGATAGCATACAGCGTCCCTTCGGCGTACGCTATAATCCTTATACCCAAGAAGTGGAGGTGCTGTCAAATGCTCAAAAGATTACGGCGTTTGTAAGTGAGCTAAAGGGCGATTTGAGTTTGGTTTGTCAGGCTATGCGCAAGATTTCCGCCAATGATGAACAACTGGATGTGGATAGCATTGCCAATATGTTGCAGACAACGCTAAATGTACGCGGCGACAGAACACCGGGCAACTCGGTAAGTCCAGATAATTCAGATGACTCACAGCATTCAGTGGGCAAGTAAGAGTAAACGTTACGCAATGACGACGAAAGAAAGCACGCGAAATATGGACCACGGCTTAAAGGAGAAGTTTTGAATTAACTGAAATATTAAAAAAAATTACTTAAAATTAGTGTATAATTATTTAAAAAAAATCACTCAATAAATGGATGTATGTATGTATAGCAAAATTTATTAGAAAATTTCCGTCTCTATGTAAACATTTTGCAATAATAAAATTGAACAACACAGGACTTTAACAATAATAAAATAACTTATTGAGTAAGTGTTTGAATGTTAAACAAAAAAAAAAAAAAACTTATAAAATATGAGAAGCAATAGTGGTTTGTTTGATTAATATTTTCCATTTAAAATTACACAATAATTTTATTATTTAAAACTAAAATGAGCATGTTCACCTCTATAGGTCTATATTTAGTTATCTTAACTAAGCTAATTGTTTTAAGTTGAAAACCGAATGAACGCCACCGGCCACAGGCTACGAGCTGTCAAAACATCGTTATCTGCGAGGGTGGCCGTGTAGTCAGTTGCACGATAACTTTTTGTCATTTTGAAGGTAGTGTCATTATGCCTCTCTTATAGAAACCCTTGTCCTCACGGCATAATATTGGTATACTCCATTTTCAAATGTTTCTGTTAAGGCCGATTCTTCACCACCCAAATCATTCGCCTGTTCTGATGAAATACAATTCCCAAGTGGGTCGATTTTGTTACCAATCAGCAGTGATTCCCAAATGGAAAGTCTGTCCATGAGTAATTTTCTCTTTAACTTATGTGGCAACCATATATCCAGCCTTTTTGAAGTGGTTCTAAATTGTTTATTTTGTGCATTGTTTAGCTCTTGAGCAATCGAAACGCTGCACGCGTGATGGTTAGACTTGACGCCTTCCACTATTTTATCGACATTTTCGACAATCGTGGGCCAAATTTGAGTAGACTTAATATTTTCATAGCTGCTTTTTCAGATAATTTTTCTGTTTCATTGGTTTTGGGTTTTTTCAGACCATATTCTTGGCCGGTAGAAGTTATATTTTCATGTAGATCTTATGCTTTTGTTCATATATTCTTTGGCCGAGTCGTCATGCAGCCGTGTTAGCCAATCCGTTCGTTTCGTTGTTGCCCGTGGCGTTCAAATTGTTTTCCACTTGACTCAATTTAATTAAATGCTAATTATTTTATTTGCTGATTTATGCATTATAAATCAAATCACAATCGCTGCCAATGAATTGCTTACTAATTACGTTCGCTGAATAGTCCAACAAGTACTTGGGTATGGTCCAAATATTGAAAATACTCAACAGTGGCGTTATTCGTCGTTTAATACCGTTAACTATGTAACAATAGGAACTGCGAAACCAATTTTTTGAGGCCTTCTCGACACCTTTATAGACATTCTTCGGCTGGAGTATCTCTTTGACTTCGACACGTGGCGTAATTTGCATTTTATCAACGGATTCGCAAACTTTTTCATTGCTCATTAAAATCCCCGCCACAATATAAACCAATTTGACGTATCTGAAAGAGAGCGTGTGTACGAAGAGAAGAGGGAATGAAATGAGTTTAAAGAATCAATTGAAGAAAAAACAATATCAATTATAATTGTAATTAGATGTTATATACAGTAGACATATATTGTAGCTAAGCGTAAAAAATTGTATGCCTAAAAATAAAAAGAATTTGAAATTAAGAAGAAAAAAAATCCTAAAATGCTGATAAAGCGAGTGTGGTGTGGTGGCTGTTTATTTGCTATGGATTTGTGCATGTGCTGCAATAAACATATGTACAATACAATATAATATGTGGAATTGCACAATAAACACTATCGGCGCTGGAAATTTGACCTCTTGCGTGCATGCTAAAGTGCTATATTGGTTCGATAAGAAACGAACTTACTAAAATTGAGATAAATAAATAATATTTCAATGTAGATTTTAGCTGCCGCTCTTCGAAATTTCGAAACTTTTCCACATACATAAATCATGCAGAATAGTTATTTATAAATATATTATTACATTATTCATTATATTTGCAATAGATGGCTTTAGTGATCTGCATCTCGCATTCTGTAAAGCGATTTGATTACCTTAGATGGATAGTTCGAAATATATGATATTTTGTAAATCAATAGTGCTTGACCGAACGAGTGTCAAAGATGGACACCATCAAAGAGAAAATCCACTATATTCTACAATACATAAATTTGGTATCGTCGATGCTTAGATGTCAAAGATGCTCCACGATGTGAAAGTCCAATGTCGAAAATGTCGATAAATCATTGGAAATCGTCGAGCCTGGCCATTATGTAAGTCCAGTTTCGATTGCTCAGTAGCCCACTTGTAAAATGCTGGATACACAAAGAAGCTCGATGTTTCGTTGCTAACGGGGAAAGATCTCAAGGTTCAAAATTCCATTTGCGAATCCCTACTGAATCGTAACAAACTCGACCCATTTTTGAAGCAGATGGTGACTGGTGTTGAAAAGTGGATCACTTACAGCAACATTAAACCAAAACGAAAGTGGTAAAGAGGCTATGAAGCGGCACAAATGATCCTCAAGCCAGGATGGTTTTGTTGTGTGTTTGGCTAGGGTTTTCAAAGGTCCGTAGGCTAGCAATTAAAATTCTGAATTCCGAACTATATTATTATAAATTTGATCGTATTGAAGAAAGCAATGGTCCCACCCAAATCGAAGCATCCATATTAGGCCAACAGCAGGAAACAGAATAACGGCAGAACCCAAAAATCGATAGTGACTCAGCAGAAGCTCTAAGAGCTTGGTTGGGAAGTTGAGATCTCGTGGCCATAAAGAATCGGCCTCAAGAGAAGCCTGTAGAAATCGATTGTCCCAATTGTTTGCCAATAGAAACGAGGGTTCCTATGAGTGAGGCTTAATGGTATTACTTTCAGAATTGCTCTAAAATAAATCAATTTAATGCAAAAATAATGGACTTCTTTTTACTTGACCAATATCATTTGTAATCCTAATAGTAAATTTGATGACGTCATGGAAGTTATAAAAACTTCGGTAAAACAATAGATAGCTCTTCTTTCTTGTCTCTTCATCTTCTTAAAGTTTCATTGTTAACACAAGCCTTAAATATTCTTTATCGCTATGCTTTTGTGAAAGTGAAAGCTGATGAAAGTTGACGAACTTGTCAGCAAAAAAAGGTCTTGTCAGAACGAATGATTAGCTGACATGAGAATGAAGGTGGTGAACTTGTCAGTGGTACAGAAATTCAATTGTAAGAGTGAATTGGTGAACACAACAGCATAAGAATTATGTCTGCATACAGCTCATTAGGCTGTCGTCAGAAGTATTAAGTCAAAAAATGATTGTCACTGATGAATGCAGCAACAATTTTCATTCTGCCTCAGTTTACTTAAAGAATCTATTAGAATTTTAAAATTTTTGAAAAAAAAATTGAATTAAAATTTACTTATCGTGTTTCTATGTAAGTGAAAACTTTAGTATGTAAAATCAATTCTGCTGATCGTTAGTAATCAAAGCAATAACCGAGCTTTCGTCTATGCATATGTATATATATACATATATATATTTATGTGTGTGTATTTTATGTCTACATAATCAACACACTCATAATGCGTAAGAATTTAAACAGTTTATTATTGAGAACTTAACATGAGTGTTCGGAATGTCTCCAATATTTCACTGCTGGACTTTGGAGTGCAAGCTAATGAAAACATGCGATCGCTACGTCATAAATATGTGTTATTTTGTATGTAAGTACATACAAAGCTTTGTAATTTATTTTTTATAGCCACTAGTTGTCGAAATCAGATAATCAGATAACGCTTGGTATCGTTGTTTTTGTGTTAAATGGCTGCAAGTAGGAAAACGAAAGTAACTTTTTGATGATTCAAGAAATAAATTGATTTTATAATTCATAGTTTTTAATTAATTTAATAATTTTTGACGTTATTTATTATTGAAATTAACTGAAAACTCAAAATGGGAAAATTTTCTGTACGAAAATATTTTGTGATTTTCTGTTGGTGAATATTTTTGAACCATTTCTGCCTTAATTCATCTTTAAACAATTTTCTAACTAACCTGAAAGTTCTGGACATCATTTTGCTGGCTCCGCCGCCGTATGCTGCTAGTTCACTTGCTACGAGTAATTCTTCCAAATCCTTTAGAGTCATGCGTATCGGGCTTTATTATTTTTAAACAATCGATTATCGATTATTTTGCGTTTTCCACTACACACACACGGATCCGTTTTTTATTATTATTTTGTGAACTTTAAATCTTGCATATAAACTGATCGAAAATTGCTTTAATTTCTTTTTATTATATTTTCATAAGAAAATCTGTATATTTTTTCAATACATGATAAGCGTTCCAAGCTTATAAATGCGCTTAGATTATTTGTTTAATGTTTAATGTTTTATTTTTGTTTTCAACTATTCCCCATTAAATGTCGCGACGCTTGTGCTGCATTGCCCTTGACTTGTATGTCGGACGGACTGTTTTGGAAATTATTTTCAATTATTAAATAACTAAATAATTTATGTACGCTTACGCCGAACTGCTTACACTAACTGAGCGTAGTCTTCTCAACATTCTGTCTACAAAGTGTTAGATGTGGTTTTGCGGTTGTGGACTCTTCTCCTCTATGGCACTGATCGTTAATATGCCGTTAGTGGGCATGCTGGCTGATAGCGATGTGATTATGACTAGAGGTAAGTGTTTGGCGACAATGCTCAATTGAGAGCGCACCGATCTCAGTTGGGAAGTAAGAGATGAAAAAGTGCATGTAGATTGAGTTTGACTTGCAATCATTTCAAATGTCATGACTTAAAATATAAATACATATACATACATGTACATATATCATATAATAAATATGTATGAACATATATGTACATATGTATGCTCATACACTTTCAATGTTTGCATTCAGTAAGATAAAATGCATTTATTTATGGTTGTAAGTCATTTTTAAATTCTTATCTTAAGCGTAAGGTCGATGAACATTTTGGGAAGCAAGTTTTAAATTTTTCTTAAAACATTTCTTGCGCTTTCTGTATACATTTCTGCTGTCACGTTTTATTGTGAATACATATGTATATTCCGGAATGAGTGATGTATTCGGAATACATTGAAATACTTTCAAAAGGCTTAATTTTTCATTGATGGAAACAATTGTTTGGGCGACCACCTTCTAAGTTAGTTTTATAACTAGAGGCTCTAGAAGGTCTTAGGTGCGGTGAAATGGTTTTTGGCTCTACTTTTAGTCAGCGAAGCTCGTGTGGCCGTGACCCCTGGAAGCGAGAGAGAGTGTACTTCTTCACGAGAGTCAGTGCGAGAATTTTTTTTTGTGAGATACTCGCATTCGACTCTGGGCTCAGCTTTGTTGAGCAGTTTAGCATTGATCTACAGAAGTAGCAACAATACAATGAGCGGTGTATAACTGTTTTGAGCAGCATTTGAGTTAAAAATATTAGTCACATAGCTATTTTCGGTGTCGATGCACTTATGTTGAGCTCTAGTCTAATTGAAAGATGTCACACCTTCCTCTATACTTACTTCTAGAAATTGCAAATCTGTACATATCTTTAGAGGATACCACCAAACACGTTATTTTATCGATCGCTGGATATATATCAAGATGTGTTGTCTGGATCGCGGAAGATCAATGAATTTCCTGGCTCTCACCAAGTCACTTCTAGCACTTTCAAAAAGTACTCAACTGTTCGATTAGTATACACGCAGTCAGCTTGAATTCTGCCACATGGCATTGCATTTTTGATTGACAAGTAGGAAACGTGTCCAGTGACATCACAAAGATGATCAGGCAGTATAATTTTATTTGTTGAAGCTAGCTTTGGATAAGCCACATAAAAGCTAACCTTAACTGAACTAATCTTTATCCTTCACTAACATTTAATATCTACTCATTGATCACATGAGTGCCACAAGAACTCTCACTGATCTGGCTATGTTCTGGATGGTATTCGGAGATGCAGTTTATAATCTTTGAGTTGCTCTTTCCTTTATTATTCTCCTTTTATATATAAAAGCTGTTGAACGGAATTTATATGAATGCTTTTCGCCGTGACTGTAGCAAGAAATATTTATTTTTGTATTTATAACTTTTTTCGTGCTGCCAATCATTCTACGTGTAGGTTTGTGTCTTGGCTAAGTGAAGTTAATATTGTTCGAGGGAAGTCTTATCTGAAAGCTTTTGTACTATTCAGCGAATGAAACTACCACACATTTTGTAATTCACGCCCATAAAGAGGACAACAGGGTGCCGACCACAATAGAAAATAATTTAATTTTTTTTGACTGACAGCGGAAATTGCGCAATTCACCGCCAATTTGAATTTGAAATCTTAGTTGCTTAGGAAGCGTCAATTATCTGCGTGGTCATTTGATAGTCGTTCTTGGCCTCCACTTCCCTTCCAGAATTTACAAATATTTCGCACACGCACATTTTTAGCATACAAAATAGTAAATACTAATTTTTATAACCTTATTTTAGAGTCTGTTTTATCCGTTCCGTCTATTATTCCCAGTGGTATTTATACAATATAATAATATCGTTTTTGACTCATTCCGGCCTTCGGCTAAACTTTCACTAACAGTAGCCCTTTGACAGTTAACCTAGACACATGTCAAAATACAGCGCTGTACTTTTGAACCCTAAATGTGGTTAATCCTATATATGTAATGCAACTTACAGTTACGTAAAGCATTTACTGATTACTAAGCAATAGCAAGTAAATTATTATTATAGCTTTGTAAAATATTATCAAATTATAAAAGTTATTCATAAATTACTAATTTGAATAGTTTTTTTTTATGAATTGGCATACATACATATGTAGGTACATACACGTGAAAATGGAACAAAATTTATTTATTTCTTAATCAATAATATGTTATTAAATACAAATTTTATTACCTGCGATTGCTTATTGGACTTTTAACCATGACAATCTTATCTTGATTGCAATTGTTATAGTAGATCTATCGCTTGTTGTTGTTATTGCTGTTGCTGCTGCTGTTGTTGTTGGCATCGTTTTATGATATTTTGAGTTTAAGCAATAAGTTTTTATTTAACACAACAGCTTTTTTTTTAGTTTATTAAATTATATTGCTCATCGAATACTAAATTATTGTGGGGTTCTAGTTAGGGTATATGTATTATTATATACTATTTTAATGATAAGAAATGTGACTAAAGCACACGAAATGGTGATTAGAACTTGAAAGAGTTCATAGTATAAAAAATTCCATTCAAGAAATTTCGATGTGATGAAATTCAAACTTCAACTGTGGTTCATATTGAAAAATGTTAAATTAATTGCAAAATAATCATAAATATTTCTTTATTTTTATTTTCAAGATTTATAACACACACAAATGGTCTAGCTGAATAAGTTGGTTGTCCAATAGATTGAAATAACTTATCAAAAAGAATTTATCAAGAAGCGAATGCCAACAGTTGAGAGTAAACTGTCTGAAGGATCGTTTTATCGCGCATTTCGACAGAGTTCCACTGTTGTCTAGCGCATCCGATGGGCCTTCAAAATCGATGGAAAGAAAGCTGACACAATATTTCTCTTGAAGGTCTTTTTCTAAATGCACTAGTTTATTTGCCAGCTGCAATATTTAGACTGTTAACTATCAACTAATTCGACTCTTTTCATACTCTTCATAAACATGAAATGATGGCATAACTTTTTGTTTAAGGAATGTGCATATGTAAGCTATGTTGTCTCTCAGTTTTTGAGTTATTTCATCCTAACTTGGTAAGCCGATGTATTTTTATACTGCAACCGGTATACAGAGGATTTTTTGAGATATGAGGTTTCGATTAAAAATACTGCTAAAGAAGCTTCTAAAAGCGTTAAACCCATATAAATATTGACACCTATAAACCGTCGAAATAAGGGGATTATATCTTCCCATATGGGAAGGAATATTTTATTCTTAAAACTAACGCAATTCATTTGGCGATTCTTTCTTGATTTAATGTACGATACGATACCAGATTGTTTTCCTAGCTCAAGAATAACATCTGGCTTGGAAATTGAAGTCGCCGTATGTCTTCGCGCTTCACTCCAATAAGCTAGTTTTTTAAGCTTTTAGTAAATATGCTTTTCGGTCCCTCTCTCTATTTGTTTGTAAATGCATTTCGAATTCCTCTTCTACTTGTTTCGCCTACTGAACAAGATTTTGCATTTCATCCGCTGTTGAAGCCGATCAAACTCAGCCCTATCGCTCATACTTATTCATTAAATTGTCTTAGTGATATAACACTCATCTGCATATATAGAGTTATCCTTTTCGTGGTTTCAAAAGTACAGGACTGTATTTTAAGTTTTTTTTAAATTTAACGTTCCAACCAAAAGTGTTTTGATTTCTGTAAAGGTCTGTCAATCAAGAGAATACATCGCTTAGCAACTACACAACGTGCTAATATTCTTGAAACCTATAACAAAAATGGTGATTTAAACCTGGCTTTGAGCTTTCAGAGGGGATATTTGAAGTGACTGGATCGGATACAGTATTTTAAGATCTGTGAATCATCGGTTTCTTCGTTCCAACTCAAAAACTGCTACTGTAGGTGAAAGTGTAGCCGAAGACTCGAATGTGTCTAATTCTCGACGTTTGGTCTCGAGAGCTTGGTCTATCTTACGTCCTATTATGGCATATTTGACACCTAAACTTACACCTACATCCATTAAAGTTCAGCTCACATAACACGATTCGTTGTTTGAACAACAAGCATTGGATGTCAATTTTTCCAACAAAGTTTGCTTCAGCTCAGACGAGGCACATTTTTCACTTGGGGAAAGCGTAAGTACCCAAAATTACAGAATTTGGGGCTCCGAGAATCCTCTAATAAGTAAAGAGATGACAAGGGCCACAAAAGTTATAATATAAAAAAAAAACTTAAAAGCCTGTTATTCAAGTACGAGGGGATGAACAAAAGTTCGGTAAGTTCACCATAAAAAAATCTTATTAATTTATATATATGTGTATGTATTTATTCATAATTTTTGTCCATTGCACGTTATCATGAGGTAAATTCACTTTTTTCTTGTTTTCCACAAATTTTTGAAATCTTTGGTTAAACACTCTTCGGTGTACTATTTTACAGTTACCGTCTGACCCTTTTCCAGTGGAATAGCAGCTACGATTTTATATCGGCTGAAGTAAACTGACATCATTACTTTTGCTGCTGATTTTGGTTGCTCCGATTTTACGCTGCTGCTGTTAGGTTCCATAACATGGACTGCTGCTTGGTTTGTGGATCGTGCTTATAGAACCAAGATTCGTCACCAGTAACGACTTTAATATAGTCTAGATTGACTATTTCCGAGATGGTTAGGATAAATTGAAAAAAATGTTCCCATCGAGCAGATTTCTTTGTGTATCCCAGATGATTACTTAATATTCGTGATATAGCCATGACATTCATTCACTACCAATCATTTCTTGTGTCAATTGTGGGTCTTCGCCTATTTTGGACTTCATCAGCGCTACAGTGACGTGATTAGTGAAAGATTTTAGTCGACCTTCTCGGGGCTCGTCCACTACCGAAAAATGTGCGGTCTGAGATCTTCGGAAACACTTAGAAATTGTCTTTAAAGATGGTAGAATTGTTTCATATGCAATTTGTCA